AAAACAGATAAACTAGATCCCGTGATTACACAATCAAATACAAGAATTATTTTTGTAACTATTAGTATACATTTTAATACGGGAAAATGTCCCGTGAATAAGATCCTGTAACTAAAAACCAGTTTTCCTGTAGTGCTTATAGAGTATATGGTTAGGGTATAAAGTCTTAATGATTTGACCACGGTTACTCAAAGTCATAACTAATAAGATCAACTTTTCTTATTAACATATGTTCATGAATCAAACCAGTAGGGGTTTAGGGTATAGGTTATAGAGTCGACTTGTAGGGGATATGGTTAGAGTATAAGGTATTAATGGTTTGGCCACGATTAGTCAAAAGCATAACAAATAAGATCAAGTTTTCTTATTAATATATGTTCATGAATCAAACCATTAGGGGTTTAGGGTATAGGATATAAAGTCGACTAATAGGGTATAAGGTATTAATGGTTTAACCATGACTAGTCAAAATCATAACTTATACGGATCAATTTTTTTTTTTATTAACATATGTTCATCAATCAAACTATTAGGGGTTTAGGGTATATGATATAGAGTCGACGTATAAGGTAATGGGTTAGGGTTAAGGTATTAAACTATTAATGGTTTAGCCAAGATTAATCAAAATCATAAATAATAAGGATCAAGTTATTTATTAACACATGTTCATGAATAAAATCATTTGGGGTTTAGGGTATAGCCTATTTAGAGTTTAGATTATATGTTATCGAGTAAAGTTACAATTGAACTCACAACAATTTTTCTAAATTTTATAATTTAGTTTAATACAAAAATCATATAAACAATTAACTAGCTAAACCAACAATTTCTCTATACATTTATATGAACAATTTCACTTGTTTTTAAAAAATAAAAAAAACTATTTTTAAACTTTTCTCTCCAAATTTGGGTTCCCCCAATACTACTGCCCAAAAATTTGATTCCCCCCACCCGCCGAGACCCGCCAATAATTCCCCCTGTAATGTTTTCCAAAATTTTGTTTCCCCCCACCTTTGAGTCTTTGACTTTGAGTAGTGATTCCTTGTTTTTGACAAGTATTGTGCTAGCTTCATATAGTTACGATTTACGACTTACTAGTAATCACTAAAAAGTAACGCGATGTTCTGGTCCGTAAAACCCGCAACCCAAACCGCCCGACCCTCAACCTGATTGGCCCGCAACCCGATTGACCTGCAGCCCGATTGACTCGTAACCCGATCAACCCGAACTCGAAGAACCCACAACCCGATCGACCCGCAACCCGAATGAACCCAGCCCGAACCCGTCCGAACCGCCCGACTGACACCTCTACAGACGCAGGGATTGTTGGTCAACTAATCGAGCGTGTTGAAGTAAAGCCAAATGAAGTCGTTTGGGACTTTGGGTGAAACCACGCATTAAAGTGGCTTTAACGGTGTTGTTTGAAGGAGAAGGAAATAAAAGACATATATAAATTGGAGAAATTTTACAATGCTATATAGTATTGGTGCTATATGTTTTTGTCTTTATGGTACAATTTAAAATTGTACATTTACGTTATGGTACAACTTCTTATTGTACCTATACTTTTTGTACAAATTCTTTTATGGTACAACTTGAACTTGTACCTTTATGTGATGGTACAACTTCAAGTTGTAAAGTTGTACCATAACATAATGATACAAATTGCTTTATGGTACAACCTAAACTTATACATTTTATGTTATGGTACAACTTTGAGTTGTACATTAAAGCACCAATACTATATAGTATAGTAGAAATGTTCATATAAATTGATAATAATCATAAAATGTGGAAGTAAAGAATGCGAGAGTTTTAATGTGGGTTTCCCATCCAATCGGTAAACTGTGGTAGAACGGCAGGCTAAATTGACAACCCATCCAATCAGTATAACTATAAGCAGCGAGCACTAAGGTACCGGTAGAGGGAAGGAACAGACCTTGCCCAGGAGTTGTCTTCAGGTATCGGAGTACTCGCTGAGCGACAGCCATGTGATCGGGGCTTGGAGAATGAACAAATTGACTAAGCAGATGAAACACTCTAACCCGGCCGGGTACTAATTTTACTAAAATTTTCTTGAAAAATAAAATACTCAAATCTTAAATTGCAATGGGAACTACTTTTCATAAATAAAATAATGAAAACACACTCTTGTAGTTCAAAGTAACGCCCTGACACATGGGCAAACTCAATACTTAAAATCTCAAAATGATCTCCAGTCTATACTCATAATCATAAATGTAAATAACTAATAATCTCTAATGTTGTTGCTACTGAAAACCTTGACTAAGCATCCTCCGTGACAATTATACTGCTCTCCTCTAGCTGGTTGCCCTCGAACTCGCTGCTCACCAACTCCTCCTCTAGCTCTTCAAACTGGTGAGTGAGATAGTGTCAGTCTACGCCCTTACGTTTAACATCTTATTAATACTTGATCACTTTACTTAACTTAGTTGAAATTGTTTTGTACTTCCACTATTAAAATCTTAACTCTTAGAACTGTATTCTTAAAGCTCAAATCTCCACTTAAATTCTTGACTGACAAGGGGATCCCTCACTAGCTAGTCCGGTTGCCAAGCCATACGTATGAGAAGCCATCCAGGCTTTCCTTAAACTTAAACTTATCGTGGAAGTCGTGGAAGGCTCTTCTATCACGATTCTCAAGAGCATAACTGCTGCTCATCTTAAAAAACTCAAGAGCATAACTGCTGCTCAACTTAAATATCTCAAGAGCATAATTGTTGTTCTGCCTCAAAGATCTCAAATGGCAACGGACTGGCGCTAGTGACTAAAAACACTTAAAACGACTACACCTTAAACGTGAGTTACTTCTTAAAAGGGAGAACTTGTTTCTTAAACTTTAATAATAAATCCTAAATGTAAAGCTTTAAAGTAAATAACAACTCATACATATTATCTCCAAACATAGCTCAAACAAAGTACATATCATCAATCATAAGCACAATCAAACAACGACAATCACTTCATAAAAATCCTTAAAAGCTCGTAATACTTGAAAGAGCACGTAAGCCGTAGAATTTACCCCATTTACACTCACCTTATCTTTATATAGTTGATGCTACCAATTCATAAGTTCGATCGGCCTGCTTGTTGTCCTTTGTCGACACCCATTATCTTCACCTCGTATGATCAACTGTACGCATCATTCCGAACCCATCCAAAATTAGCTAATGGGATAAGCACACCTAATTTGGAGTGCTAAATTACTTAACCCCAAACTCTTATCATGGCCATGCAATTTCCCCTACTTCCACCATTCACCCACTATCAAATTACATACTACTGTTAACTACTATAACCCACTCCTACTCTCACTTCTAGTACGTATAACCACCAGCCCACAAATCCACGTAAAAGCCATACTATGATGCACTAGTCTCACCTAGTCCAACAAGATTACTTGGCATGTCAGTTCACAAGATTAACGTTCCATTACACACATAATCTCCCACGAATTAAAACTTGCTTTCAATTCCATAGTTCCGGCACAGAAGATAGCTTACTTGTCGCTTCAAAGACTTCCGTCTATCTTTCTTTCCCCGCCTCATCATTGCCGCTAACCTAAGGTTTCCGCTAGGTTCTCCATGTAAGCTTCCTTTGTTGTATCTACGTCATGCATGTATACACTTTGCATGAGATTCATTCCCTTATAATTTATTTAGAAACCCACTCCTATTAGAAACGACCAAACTCCTAGCTACAGACCACATTAGTTACCCAAAGCACCATCATCATTGCCGATCAAAACTTGTGAAGATTTGGTCCTCACCTCAGCAATCGATTCATGGATTCTTCCATTGCGGTTCCATCAAGAGGGCAACACGTCAGAGCCTATCATTGTCAAGTAGGGCCGGTCTATAATATTCGGAGGCCCTGTTCGAAAATTAAAAATATGGCCTTAAATTTTATTTACGCAAATTTCTAAAAAATAAATTTTTTTAAATAGTAGTAATAATAATAAATACATAAGTTCAAAAAATGATTTTAAATTTCCAATCGCACACCATGCAAAAATGAAAAAAATGAAAAAATTGATTAAGGAAGTCTCCAAGTCCAATTCCTGTCTCTAAAAAAAAGTCCAATTCCTATCACGTTGAGAAAAAAAAAAGCAAAAGCCAAAAGGTTATTTGGCCCATTCCAAATCACGGCCTCATTTTAATTGAAGGCCCCATTCCAATTCGCCCTGTAGCCTGCAAGTCTTCTGTCTTCACAGCTCCACGTGACAGTCTCCAAATAACGGCTTCATTTTACATGTATATATATATTATGGGGTTAAAGACACATTTGGTCAGTGAGATTATAAAATCGGGACATATTTAGTCACTAAAAAAAGTTAATATCAAATTTGGTCACTACAATTACTAAAACTGGACACATTTAGTCACTCGTCGTTAGTCTCCGTCCAACTCCGTTAATGAAGTCCGTTAAGTGCTGATGTGGCAAACAGAATTGCCTAATCACCCGGATATAACCCAACAAAAATAAAACCCGACCCGCCACGTCATTAAAACCAACCCAACCCATGACCCAACCCCACCCAACCCTTCTTCCTCCTTCCTCCCACCTCCTTCTTTCCCCAAAACCACTCCCTGCTCGCCATTCCCGTCGCCACCGCCGTACCCATTCTCCTCCTCCCCTGGCTGCGGCCACCCCGCCTTCACTCTCAAATGCGCTTCCCCTCACTCCATCCTCTCCCTCGCAAACACCTCCTTCTCCGTCCTAGCCTTCCGCCCTAATTCCTCTTCCCTTTCCCTCTCCCCTCGTCTCCTTCTCGCCCGCCATAACTGTTCCGCCCTCCCTCCCTCCATCCACTAATCCGGCTCCCCTTTCCGCCTCGCCGACTCCTCCTGCTCTCGCCTCTCCGCCCTCCGCTCTTGCTCCCCTCCCAGCCTCCCCAATTGCTCTCTCAGCCCTTCCGACTGCTCCCTCGTCAAAACCCCTCTCCGCCTCCTCCCCGCCTGCTCTTTCGCCCCTCTCCGTCACCCATCACAGCAGGGATTTCGCTCCGCCCCGCCGCCCGGATTTCGCCATGGATTCGCGACGAGGATACGAATCGGATTGCGATCCTCTGCTCGATTTTCACGGTGATGTGTTTGCTTCTCGTGGTTTTGATTGTGGCGGCGGTTTTCAGGTCTAGGCACTTGAAGGCGCTTGTTGCGGAGGAGGATTCGCGAAGAGGAAGATTGGGGACGGTGGGTTTGGGTCGGTTTACTTGGGGCAGCTGTTCGACGGGAGGATTGTTGCTGTGAAGTATCTCCATAAGCAGCACCACCACGCCGCCGCCTTCTCCGCCAAGTTGTTTTGTAACGAAATCTTGATTCTGGTTCGCTGCCTAGTTTGCTCTGTGCTTTCCTTGGTCTTGCATTTCTCTCTGATGCAATTGTGAACATTTGGGGGATTCTTTGTGAACGTCAATGGCCTCGTTGGTGAAGGATTGGTCTGCTGGGTTAGGTCGAACAGGTTTGCGGGAGGAGGTGGGAGGAAGGAGGCGAGCGGCGGCGGCGGTGGTTTTGGGGAAAGAAGGAGGTGGGAGGTGCCGAGGTGGGAGGAAGGAGGAAGACGGGTTGGGTGGGGTTGGGTCATGGGTTGGGTTGGGTTGGTTTTAATGACGTGGCGGGTTATAATGACGTGGCGGGTCGGGTTTTATTTTTGTTGAGTTATATCCGGCTGATTAGGCAATTCTGTTTGCCACATCAGCACTTAACGAACTTCATTAACGGAGTTGGACGGAGACTAACGGCGAGTGACTAAATGTGTCCAGTTTTAGTAATTGTAGTGACCAAATTTGATATTAACTTTTTCTAGTGACTAAACATGTCCCGATTTTATAATCTCAGTGACCAAATGTGTCTTTAACCCATATATTATGTGTATGGGCTTGAGGCCCCATAATTTTGGAGGCCCTGTGCTGTGGGTCTGACCAGCACAGGGCCTGGGCCGGGCCTGTCGTCAACGATTCGGCGGAGATGATCGATGCCCCTGAGCTTCATCCGATGAAGTTCGTTTCGATTATAACCACAGCCAGTCGCTGCCCGTGACGATCGATGATGCGCCCATCAGGTACTCTAACCTCTCTATCGATCGGCGCTGCATCCGACTCAACATGGTTTAAGCTTCGACGCCAAGCTTTCCCTTTCTCCAGTTTCCTTCATACGCCACCCACTTGTTGACGGCCACTAGTCACTTTGAGAGTTTATGTAGGCGCAAATCTAACCCTAACCGCATAGAAATAAACCGCAGCCCAGCCCCGAGATGTAATTCCCTTACTTACGTTATTAGTTTTCTGATTTGGGTGTCTATCTAGCTCCCGCTTCCTTTTGCCGTGAAAGGGAGTACCAACTCCCAATGTATTGTCCAAAACTCTACTAAACCTCCTCAAAGTAAAGACCTACAACCTACTTTAAAAATTCATTTCACAATTTGCCAGCCCACAACCCAGAACTCCAACAAAGGGTTAATTGATTTTTTGTCAAAAGTACTAGTTCGATTTGGTTCGACTTTGCGTAGATATCCATATATTCATTAGCGGTCGAACCTAACCCAAAAGTTGGGGTGTTACAGCAGAGTAATAGAATAGGCAATGTCCGGACGAGCAATGGTGAGGTAGAGCAGGCGCCCAACAAGCCATCGATAAGAACCCACTTCGTGTATCCTGTCTCAGTAGGCCGAGTCAAAGAGTGATTCTGCTCGGGAGGAAAAGCACTAGGTCGGGCCGCGACCATGCCAGAATCGGCTAGAATGTCCAGCATGTGTTTGCGCTGACTAAGAATAATATCATCGGGAGAGCGAGCTACCTCAATCCCAAGGAAGTACTTAAGTGGTCTCAAGTCCTTAATACTGAACCGCTTATGAAGAAATTCCTTGACACAAGTGATGTGATCCATGCTATCACAGGTGAGAACATCATCAACATAGATCAAGACTGCTAGAAGACCCCATCCGCCTAGTAAGTGGAAAGGGAGGGGTCTACCTTCGATACTACGAACCCAAATTCCACCAATGCCTCAGTGAATTTCGCATACCATTTTCAAGATGATTGATGCAGACCATAGAGAGACTTTCGGAGGCGAAAAACACGAGTATCTCCCCCTTTAGCAAAGCCCCGAGGAACCTTCATATAAACTTCCTCTTTAAGATCGTCGTGCAAAAAGGGATTATTAACATCTACTTGTTGAAGGGGCCATCCTTTCTTGGCTGCCTGAGCCAAGAGTACACGTACGTTAACCAGTTTAGCCACAGGAGAAAGCGTATCATGGAAATCGATCCCTTCCAACTACATAAAGCCCTTCGCCACCAACCGTGCCTTGTGCCTCTCAATAGTGTCATCGGGATTAAATTTGATCTTGTAAACCCATTTGGAGTCGATGGCGCGCTTCCTAGGAGGAAAGGGTTCCAAAGTCCATGTCCCCTAGGCCTCAAGTTCATCAATCTCACGTTGCATTGCAGCTCGCCACTGTTCATATCGGACGGCTTCTCGTCAAATTTAGAGAGAACAACCAAAAAAGCATGATGATTTTGTGAGAATCGATGATAGCTTACGTAATTAGACATGGGGAACTCAAAGTAGCAAGCGGAAGAGTGAGGTAAATTTACCGCATACACGTCCAAGTGACCTGGTGGTCGTCTGTCGTAGATGGGTGTTGGCGGGGCTCAGTACAACTGCTTCCTCCGCTGGTTCAGGCTCAGCGTTAGTAAGGACGGGCTCCAAACTTGGGGAGAAAGGATATGTCGACTCAGATATGGGAGAGGGGTGCTCAGCTTCAACATCCTCATTATCAGCTCTCCCTCGGTCGACCTCATCAACAATTGAATCATTAGCTCACTCTCGGTCGACCTCATCAGCAACATGATCAGTAAGCTCGTCATCAGCAAAGAACGGGCAGGGCACAAATGGAGTTAAGTCCCCATGTACATGCATGCATGGTCACGAGAATCGATGGCGATGTCCCCGCCGACCAACAGAGGAAGGGAAACACATGCTCGAGAAATTGCATGTCACGTGAGACAATATCCGCTTAGTACGAAGATTATACACGATGTAGCCTTTTTGAGTACTAGGATACCTGATGAAGACACTGCACACCGCCGGTTGCAAACTTATCCAGCTCGTGGTGTGTATCCTTGGCATAAACAAGGCAACAAAAACTACAGATGTGTGCATAAGTCGGAGTCTTGCCCAGGAGTATCTCAAAAGGCATCTTCCCGTAAATAGTCGTCAAGGGTAAGCAATTGATGAGATATGTCGTAGTGAGAACACTTTCACCCCAAAAACGAACAGGTAAACTAGCATGGAACATGAGTGCTCTGGCAGTCTCTAACAGATGACGATGCTTCCTTTCAACGATGTCATTCTGTTGAAGGGTGTATGTACACGAAGTCTGCATAATGATCTCATGTTCTTCATAATAATCACGAAGTGAATTAGTTCGAAATTTCGGGCCATTATCTACTTGGATGCGGCGAACAGACCGCTCAAACTGTGTACGAGCAAGCTGACAATGCATACGCAGATAGCATGCCACATCTGACTTAAACTTCATCAAATAAACCCAAGTTGAACGATGAAAATCATCCATAATCATTGAAAAATAACGAGAACCATCAAGGGCATGCATCCGATACGCCCCCCAAATATCAACATGGAGCAAGTCAAAACATCTAGTGGTCTCAATTGAACTAGGATAAAAAGGTATGCGGGTCTGTTTAGCTCAAAAACAAGAGTGACAAGGAGAAAACTCTGTGAAGGGAAACTACAACCCAAAGAATCATTTAACAATGCAAGTTTATTAAGTGATGGATGCCCCATCCGGGCATTCCATTGACGCTTCGAATCCTCCAATCCGGAGGTCTTGCGGGCAGGAGTTGAAGCAAAATGAACCGAACGACGCATGTAGTATAATCCATCTCTAAACCCACTCCAATCAGTATCTTGGAAGGTAAGGCCTGAATCATGCAGAAATCACGTAAGAAAGTCACTGCGAAGTTATGATCTTGAGCCAACTGACACATGCAGAACCCGACTAAGGCAAATAGAACTACTTAGTCGAATAGACCCCACTCCCTTAACTAGGACTCCACTCCCGTCAGGTATGCGAACCTGCAAGGGCTAAAAATGACTATCTATAGATTCCATCAAACTACCATCGTGAACTATATGCTCGTTACATCGTGAATCAATTAACCAGACATCGAATTCAGAAACATTACCCGCCATATGTGTCGTGGGAGTAGATGGAATTTCAGCTGAGGTCAAGAACTCCTTGAGTTTTGCTAGTTGAGCTCAGATAACCAAGGAATAGGGGAAAGAGAATCGGGTTCCACGTGAGCAGCTTTAGATCTCCGAGCTCCTGCATTGTCGTCTCCTTGCTTGTTAGTCCGTGGGTGACCCGGAGGATAGCCCACTAGTTGATAACAAGTCTCGGCTCAATGGCTGGACGATGCCCAGCCTCAGCAGAGACCATTTGATATGCGTCTGTGAGTGTCTGCGTGGGCCTCGTGCTAAGTACTTGTGATCAAACCACAGAATAGGAGTCATCAAGTCCCATTATGAACTCAAAAAGATGACCAGTTTCCCATTGGGATTAAAGTTGTCGGGGCAAATCACAGAAGCAACCACCACACGTGCAACCTGCACAATGGCAGCGAGGTTCTCCCCCTATCGATGACATCTAATCCCAAACCGTGCGAAGCTTTGTGTAACAAGCTGAAACTGACAACTTATCTTGCCGAAAAGAACCAAGCGTACGCCAAAGCTCGTAGGCCCGTTGAGCTAATCCCATGCTAAAACAACGCTGCAAATCACTCCAGATGTCACGAGCGGTCGCAGCCGTGCGCACTCTGTTCCGAAGTTCACGCGTCATAGCAGTCTTGATCCAACCCTTCACGATCACATCACATCGATCCCAGGCGTCTTGCTGAAGGCCGGGATTAAACTTCGTGAGAGGGAACGAGTCGTCGACGAAGGCCATTTTATTCTTGGCAATAAAAGTCTCGGTGAGGCACTTAAGCCCAACCTAACATAGTTTCTCGCTAGATCAAAGAGATATGAGAAATTCAAAGATCATCTCCCTCCTCAGTGACTAATCCATTCACCCCGCACTAGAAAATATAGTGGTTGCTTGACAGCGGCGCAAAAAAGATTAGGCGGAGCTAGAGAAGAAGGAAGACGGATTGTTGGGTGTGTGATTCAAGTCGCTGAGGCTAGTGATGGCAATGGGGCGGGGCGGGGTGGGTACCTCAACTCCCATGCCCCGCCCCACGCTACTACGGGTCGGGGCGGGTAAAACCCGCGCAGGTACGGGGCGGGTCGACCCACTCTTACATGTTGTTAAAAAATACAAGTAAATTTTACTTTTTACAATAAAACGTAGGGAAAAACACTTTAAGAATG